ACTTTGTTTCGGTCTCCACGAAGAACTATCTCATTTTATCTGTCATGTTTACTATTTATTAGTCAAGCTAACTTTTCTTGGATGGACAGGAAAAAAAGAAAGCAGTTGATGATTAAGAAATGGCCCGATAGCTATTCAAGAGGTCTCTCGTAATATAAAGGGAAAATCGCATATTTTGTCCCATAGTTATAACACAGATATAGACTGAGCCCCTCAATTATTGTTTCGTCCCTCAGCTATTCCAAAGTGGCGGTTTTGGTCATGTTTGTTAATATTCCATTAGATTTGAACAAAAAAAAAACTCCAGCAAGATGACAAACTTCAAGCTCCAACCTAACGGTAAACAAAGAGTCATATGTAAAAGCTCGAAGTTTGTCAAATAAACTCATCGGAACATTATGAACATCTTACTCGTATGAAGAAATCAGATTTCCATATTTACCACTGCCATTTAAAGTGTTTTATTGATTTTGCATCCAAATATAACGGAATGTTAATGAAGAGGACCAAAACCATCACTTCGAGATAACCGAGGGACCAGAAATGGACACACTAATAACCAAGGAACTGAGTATATATCTGAGGTATAACATATTAACATAGAGACTAAATATGTAATTTTCCCTAATATAAATACGGGGGGAAATCTTACCAGGTGAAGCAAGTTGTTCTCTGACCTTAAGCGCTCGGCCTGCAAATATGAAACGGTGCATTAAATTATTGGTTTAGTAGGCAAAATTCAACTACAATAAACTCCTTTAACAAAGATTAAAAACTCCAAATTGCAGCAACATCCAATGTACATTGCCCAGGTAGACCAGCTAATTTATTGGATTCAATCTTTTAGTGTAATTTGACCCATGTGCATTATAGCCCAATTTAAGATTATAAAATGGTATCAGAGCCTGTTCGATCCACTTTGTGTTCACCCACTTATGGGTATTGGTGGTGTCCAGAGCTTTCATTTCAGGGGAGGATCCGGTCCAATTTCAAGTAGTCAACCAGTTAGATTCAAAATGGCCCGGTTGTCCACTTGAGGGGGAGTGTTAAGAGAGAGAACATATGAGTTTATAAGGCTATGGGTTAGACTAGCTAATTGGTTAGATTCAATCTTTTAGTGTGGTTTGGCCCATGTGCATTATAGTGACTCTGGCCCAATCTAGATTATAAGATTGAGAAACACGAAACAATTCAGTTCACATACCAGCTCACTAGCCTCGTTCTCTCCACCTTTAAAGAGTGGAGTCTGCAAAAAATTGCTGATAACATTTTCTGTTCGGCTGCTATATGATGATGTGCTTAAAGGATTCTTTTCCAAATCTGAAGTTTCATTAGAAGAGAAAGAACTTGAAAGCCCGTCTTTAGGCATGAAATTCTCTAGGACTTTCGGCTGTACTGGCATTACATTTCCCAAAGGATTGCGAGTCGAGGTCTCATTCATCACCCCTATGCCGGTTTGAATAGATTTTGGAACAATGCCTTGACCAACCAACAAGTCGGGAGCCATTCCAAACTTCATCATAGCTTTTGCCGCAAGTTGCTGGCAAAGTAGATTATTAGAAGGTTGTATATTAAACGCTGAACGGGAAAAAAAAATAATGGAAAAATACATACAGCAAGACACGATTGAATCTGATGTACCACTCCCGGCTTCACAGCAAGACCTGACATTTAGCACCAATGTTTTGCTGTTTAACATAGAAAATAATGGAATGAATATGCTATAATGTAGTTTTAGCAAAAAAAAAGTTCATAATTCAAATTTGGTTCTTCATTACTTTGACTAACATCATTCCCCTACTCACCATAGTTGAGTCAAAGACCTCAGACAATTACCATAGCGATGAACAGTAACTCCGCTTTTAATTTATGCAGAGTAAATTTTTCTTGCTTCACCTGGAATCATTCCTTCCATTTCCTGAATCTGATGATATTTCTTATCTAAATATTTGTATAAATATTTAGATTGGTGTCATCTGTCAGATTTCTTACTGCATTGGTCATATATATATATATATATATATATATATATATATATATATATATATATTTTTTTTTTTTTTTTTTCTTTTCTTTTTTTTGAGTGACAATGGAAACCTACAACTACTACTTGAGGGTGTGCACTAGTTTACCCTACCTTGTGAGTTGTGACACTAGCCGGCAAAGGAAGTAAACCAGCCTAAATTGCCCACAGATGACCCGTTCAAACCAAGAAGGCCAATAGGCCCCTCGTTATATTTTTCTCCATACTCATTACTGTGTTATTTGGTTTGCAAATTATTAAACAATCCTAACATGAACATACAGCAAAACTTCTACAATAAAGCTGAATGACATAAACCCTATGTCCCTATATGATATCCTATGACAACTCAATAAAGATCTCCAACTAATATCTAGCTTTAAGCATGGCCGGATTTTAGGCCGTGCAAGATGGGCAACGGCACAGGGCCTCAATTTTTAGAGGACCCAATATTTATTTTTGACCTAGCTACTTAAGAAATAAAAAAGAATCTACAATTAATCCTAAAACTCATCAGTTTTTTCCCAAATCACTTCTCTCTCCTAATAATTAGGACCTAATTAATTGAGCATGACAAAACTATTCTGTAACTGAAAACAAGTCATATATTTTACGGTATTGGTATTAAAGATTGCGCTTATAGTTTTGGTAGGGTCTCATTTATTTATAAGAATGAGGCCACAAAAATCCAAAAATTGGCCCTGGCCTTTAGGTCAAATTCTTTTAAAACAATGATCAGGTATAGTGCAGTAAGAGCATAATAAGTGATACATACCAATACCAAAGCCATGGCCAAAACCTATTCCACAGCCAATGCCAGCTTCAATGTTCTTAACCCCCAAATGCCGCAACTATAAAATGGAAATCGTGTACAAAAAAAAAAAAAAAAAAAAAAAAAGAAACTAAGAGCTATTAAATATTGCGTTGGTATAAGCATATCGTCAAAATAAATAAAGACAGCAAACTGACGTACAGAGTTATTAACATGCCTTCCGACACCAGAAAAAGCATCCGTCGCACCTCTAGTGGCAACCATAACTTGGTTTACCATTGGTATTGCACCTGATACAGGAAATAATAAATAGCGGTAATCTAACATACAGATGCAATGAAACAGCAGTTCATTAAACGTAAAGTAAAGCATGATGTCATGCTAACCGAAAGGAAATTTAATCCCGAAATATCAATTTGAGAAATTTCTAAGAAAACTTCACAGACAAAAACTCTATATTACTTCAACAGAAAAATACAGTAGTACTGAACTTTAGAGCACAATATCATGAAATCAGCAGAACCAAAATACTACCCGGGGGTAATAAATAGTCAATATGGTAACAATATAAAATTCTTACACGAAGAATGGCAATAAAACACAGAATAAGTACATCCCTATGAACCGCAGATTGTCTCTATATGGACATTTTTGCGTGAGAAAGGCTATACACTCCTACCTTCACTATCACTATCGTAAAAACATTTAGGCTCAAAGAAAACAATCACAATTCACAAGAATCAAACAGGGAAAATTCCATTGGAACTAGGATATAAATCTTATAAGCTGATATTTTAGTGGCCAAGCAGCTGTAAAAAGTGAGTCTAACACCCCCCATCGAACAATAGCTTAAGCACAAGGAAGCAAATCCCCAGCATTAAGAACAATTTAAAGACTCAAGCTTTACAAAACCCAACACAAACTAAAAAGAAATCAGATAGTATTTCAGTACTTCTGACATTTATTGTCTTTGGATTTCATACATTTTCAAAGTTAATAATGGTTTCTAACACAGAAGCACAAAATAAATACGACTGAATACACAAATTACTTGAATTTTTCTGGCATTTTCTGTTTCTGGGTTTCCAAAAATCTTGAAAATTCATATGCTTCCCTTTCTATTTGGGTAATATTTCACCATAAATGCTTTCTGGGAGAGAAAAGAAAGAGAGGGAGGGAGATTGAGCGCAAACCAAGGTTTATAGGGCGGCCAACACCAATGCCGATGCCACAGCCGATTCCAAAGCCAGTGAATACTTGACCCACTTTCAAAGTAAAAGGATTCTCTATTCTCGTCATCCATTCCCTTTCTTTTGTAACAATCACTCCGCTCTTGGGATCCATGCTTATTGTTGAATCAATCCCTTATTCGCTCTTAAACTTCTGGTTCTGGATACAACTTTTCTCACTCTAGAAGCGCTATGCAACCCAGTAAAACCCCCTCCTCAACAATTCTACCATGTCTTCTCCAGCTCCACTCTTTCGGTTGCTTCAGTGCGCAAGAAATGAGCCATCGTTTTGTGGGTTTTCACATTTTGGGGATAGTTCACCTGCGGCTTTTCCCAATTAATTCAAGTGTTCAACCAACAAATGTTTCTTTTTCTATTTTTTTTTTTCCGGTTAAAAATATATAATATATACTCCGTATATTTTAAATAAGAGTTAATTCCAGCAATGGTCCTCTTACGATTTTCCAAAATTAGTCCTTGTCTTTTAATTTGGACAAATTAGACCCTTGACTATGAAATTTGTTCCAGAATTAGTCTTTCCGTTATCTATCTGTCTGTTAGCCGTGAGTGTAAGGGTCAGAATCGTCTTTTCATTAGTTTTGTCTCTTCTTCCACCATTGTTGCGTCAAAGACGATGCTTACAGCCGGGAATTAAATCTCTGTCGAATTCCGCCGGCCGCCGCCAAACAATGAATGCAGATCCATCTTCATTCCACGAAATCAAATCTTCCAAGGATGCCTAACAAATGTAATTGCAAATCCAAAAACTCCCATTTTCTCTGTCGTCTTCTTCATAATCAAAGCAGCAAACTTCAAAGCTAAGATTTCTTTTTCTCTCTCTGTTCATTTCAATGGCGGACGTTTCGAGTCTCCACCACCGTTGCCGCCCACAACCCACGGTTGATGATGTTTCCTTCGTCGTCGACGAGGAGGAGCCGAACATCTACATCTTTGACGACGAGGAGGAGCCGAACATCTACATCTTTGATTTCGCCTCCCAAACCCGCATTTTGTAATCCTCCATTTGTCGATTCAGTTTCGATGAGGAAAACCCTCCGCCGCCGCCGCCGCCGCCGACGAAGTCAGGAACGACGAGTAGTTCCAGATTTGATCTGAGGCAGGTGAAGAAACCAACGGCAAGGCCGAAGTGCTGTTCCAGACAGATAATGAAAAGACGATGGAGGAAGAAGAGACAAAGCTAATGGAGGGGTGGGAATGAGAGTTGTATCATTATTCTCTGTGTTTTTTTATTTTGGGTTATTTGTTTGATTTTGAGTAAGCTATGATGGACAACCATTTCTGTGAAAAGCACTTGTATATGAACAGAATTTGGAGGACGAATGCACTTGTATATTCATGACGCAACAATGGAGGAAGAATAGAGAAAGCTAATGAAAAGACGATTTTGACCCTTACACTCACGGCTAACACACAGATAGATAACGGAAGGACCAATGCTGGAACAAATTTGATAGTCAAGGGTCTAATTTGTTCAAATTAAAAGACGAGGACTAATTTTGGAAAATCGCTATAGTCGGAGGACCATTGTTGGAATTAACTCTTTTAAATAACAACGAAATCTACCTGTCACAATCGTCGGTGGGCTGTCAAGTGGACCTAAGTCCACGGGCTAACCCGCCTCGTGACGGGGCGCAAATTATGCCATGGAATCGTGTTCACCGAGAATGGTGAACACAAGACAAAACGATGTCGTTTTTAGGCCAAAAAAAAAAAAATTCGCGGATGTGGAGTTAACGGTGCGCGTTTGATCAAATTATGAATTTTCTGTTATGAGATTATGAATTTTATGACAAAAAATTCATAATCGCATAACAGAAAATTCATAATCTCACAACTGAAAATTCATAATCTCATAACAGAAAATTCATAATCTTATAACAGAAAATTCATAATCTCATGTTCCAAAGTGAATGTGTAGGCATGGTTCCAAAGTGAATGTGCAGGCATGGATTCATAATTTATTAATGTCCGTGATTTCGGACGGGAATATGTAGGCATGGTTCCAAAGTGAATGTGCAGGCATGAATTCATAATTTATGAATGTCCGAAATTATGAATGTAATGAAAATTCATAATCTCATAACAGAAAATTCATAATCGCATAACAGAAAATTCATAATCTCATAACTGAAAATTCATAATCTTATAACAGAAAATTCATAATCTCATGGTTCCAAAGTGAATGTGTAGGCATGGTTCCAAAGTGAATGTGCAGCCATGGATTCATAATTTATGAATGTCCGTGATTTCGGACGGGAATGTGTAGGCATGGTTCCAAAGTGAATGTGCAGGCATGAATTCATAATTTATGAATGTCCGAAATCTTTGTTCACTTCAAATTAAAGTGAAACCGCAAAATGTGAAAATAAAGAAGAAAAGTCACGCAATTAATTAAAAAAAAAAAAAAAAGATAACGGTGTACTAACACCGTTAGAACCGTGTTCACCATGAATGGTGAACACGGTTCCATGGCATAACGTCTGGTGACGGGGCAGGTTAAGGCCACAAAAATATGACCCACAAAAGAGCGGGTCTAACGGGCTTGGCCCGCTAATCCCCGCAGTTTGCACGGGCTGAGGGCCAAGCCCTATATATATACTTTAAAAACTTTAAAAGTTGAACTTGAACATGATTTTAATATATTTATTTCTTGACTTATTGTTAGACTTTGAAGTTAGATTTAAAATTCACAATGTTTATTCTTGTCATTTTTAAATTATTTACTTAATTTCACGTGAATTCAAAAAAAAAAAAAAAAAAAAAACCAAACAAACAAAAGCCCGCGGGGCCCGCCAAATGGCGTGGGGCGGGCTAGAGTTGCATGAACCTAGCTAGCGGACTGGGCTGTCAAAAATTATGCCCGCGATAGGGCGGGCCGCCTCGCTTTGACTGTACTACTAGTGTTGACACAGATTAATTCTACTCATGTGTAGTTAGCTATTCTGTATTTCGATCACTATGTTGACACTATAGTCATTTAAGTTTCTATGTTTTAAACATTGTTGATCACATTTCATCTTTATGCAGGAAAAAATCATTTATAAGAAATGAAATTTAAATTTTATGAAAATAAATTACTTTAAATTTTATATTCATTTATTTGATTGGTGAAAGAACAAATTAGTGAGAATAATTAGTATAAACATGTTTATACATAATAAAGGTACGTGAAAGTAACCTATTGATTATCTTGGTCCATTATCAAAAATCATCAAATTGTAGTCATTGACACTAAAAATGACCTACACCCATTAAAAGATTGTTATTCAAATGTAACAAAAACAATCATCCTTGTTAATCCGAGGAATAAAGTTGTCACTTTGTTAAAAATGAGTATAATGAGTATTTTGTTGGAGGATTGTTTTGGTTCACCCAGTTCGTGTGACATTATTGTGCAAAGTAAGTAATACTGGTGGTTCGAACTTGTCCTTACCCTTGATCTAAAAGAACAAAATTGTCAGTTTGTAAAAAAAATTAAAAGATGAAAAATAGTCATGCCCAAAATAAAGTGACTAAAGGCATCCCCAATAGTTGTAGTTTTTGAAGAATTTTTGCATTAGGAAAAAGATGATGGGAGGGAAAAGAAAAAGGGGGAAAAAAAAAATTTGAAAAGCATCATTAACGTGCACGACTGGGCGTTGGTTGCGCTTCATGTAATCAGGACAAAAAATAAGAGATTTTGGTGAGTCTCACAAGTCTGATAAAAACCAATGTCTTATAGGGAGATTTTATTCTCTCTCATCACCTCTTTCCTCCACATAAGCTTGCTTTCTCAAAAAACCACACCAAAAACTTCTAATCGTGATGCTCTAAATAGGGTATCAAGACCAAAATTACAATTTTTCATTGTTTGGGTTGTCATTGTATGACACCTCATGCAAAAACTTTTAAAAATTATTAAGTCCAACTATTCAACTATCTCCCGTTCTAGACTTAACGTGGACTAAAACAAATAAAATTTGTTGTTTTTAGCTTGTTGATTGTAAACATAACTTGAACTTGACATTTCAATGGTCATTATTATTGTAAATACATTCTGTGCATTTGAAAGTCACTAGTATTTGCACCGGTGCGATGCACAACCATATTGTTATAGTAACAACTAGTAGTTGCACCCGTGCGATGCACGGCCATGTTATTATGCTGAAATATATTAAAAATTGTTTTATTCATGATATATGGTCAATAACGCTATAGACGTCACAAATACACAAAATATATTTTTTTATTGTTAAATAAATAAAACAATTACAAATTATTAAAGATTTCTTTATAAACTACATTTTGAGTCTTATTTAAAAGACCTCTAAACTCCCCACAAATTAAGACCTTAAGACCATTCGGATTATTGACCCGAGAAATTGCCACATATAATTGGCCATGATTAAAAACAGGTTTTTTCAGTAACAAACCAACATGTGAAAGCGTTTGACCTTGACTTTTGTTGATTGTCATTGCATATGATAACATAAGTGGGAACTGCTTTCTTTGAAACTTGAATGGAAGTCTTGGGTCTGAAGGAGTCAAAGATAGCCTTGGTATCAACACCTTTGTACCTGCGTTATTGCCAGATATGATTTTTGCCTCAATAACATGATTTCCCAATTGTGTTACTATTAACCTTGTACCATTGCACAACCCCAGTGAGTGATCTATATTTCTCAACAGCATAACTGGAGTTCCAACTTTCAGCGTTAAAGAGTGGTTTGGTACACCTGAGCACCTCAAACTATTTAAAAATTCTGTTGTGTGTACCTGAGATTGCATATCAAAGTTTGTCTCCGCCTTGCAAACAGAATCACAACTCAAGTATTTCATTGATGTAGCTTGATTAATACCATTCATGTATTCATTGACCTCGTCAACAACATCTAATGTTGGAGCTAAAATAGCTCTATTCTCTAGTTGTCTGTCATCCATGTTCCCAGAACGGTATTCAGGGAATGTGCTTTCAACAATTTGTCTAATAGGATCAACCTCATTTTCTAATACAATTGAAGACGGTATCATTATATTGCAATCAACACCATTGTCTTCACCAAGATTACCATCACCTAAATCCGCAATCCACTTGGCAAAACTATCTAACTTCTCAACATCGTCTTCATTAGTAACACCTCGCAATCTTAAATTCTTCGTTAGATGAAGAACTTCACAATTATTCCACAAGTAAGATGAATTAATACTGACTTGTACTATATCTTGTCGAGTACCTTTTCAACATCTGCCATCACCTTATTGTATATGAGTAACTGTTCGTCAGTTAGTTTCGGATGCAACGAATTATGTTGATGCATTAGATCTTCCCTATCATATGACATCTCCTCGAACAACAACCTGTTACCAAATAACCAATCATTGTTTTCATCTGGCATTGGCATAGGTGGATAATCTGATAGAGATTTGTTCCAAGCATTCAACAACTTCTCCAATTCAAGCAACACATAATTCTTTTTTTGAGATTCATTCAGACTTAAATCTACAAAATTACAAAAAAAAAAAAAAAAGATGGTAAGATATAATGCTTTTAAAAACGGATATGAATAATAATATAACAATAAATGTTACCTGAGATTGAGAGGTTCCTTCTAGAAATATATTGAGCATCATCTGGTAAGTATTGCCAAACCATCTCCCACACATTTTCTGGCTTGGACATTGAATTGGATGTCAAAAGTGTAACAAACAACTTCCGTAGCAAATGGGCTGAAGACCAAGTTGCTGCCTCAGTGATGGCATCAACATACTCTTTATCATCTTCGATTAATCCGCGGGCATAACATGCATCTCTAAATGAATTGTATTGAACACCATCGACTTTTTTAATCTCATCAAATGAAGTCGGTCCACGAACTATATTAAGTAAACATCTAAGATAAAAGATCTCACCAGTATTTGGTGGCACATAAAAGGTTCGACCAATTGCCCAATTCCTTTGCCTAGGTTGCCATTCTCTCTTATCATTCTTCCAAACAAATTTAGTTGGCATTTGTGAATAAGTCAACTGTCTCCCTTCTGCGTACTTTTTATTAGCCTCAAACCAGGCAGTAAACATGCTTTGAGCTACTGTCGGTCGATTTACAACATCATTGACCAAATCGTCGTCATGAAATATTATTGAATGCTCATTAGGAAGATGGAAACTCAATCGCTCAACAGATGGATTCCTAAATTGTATGTCAAACGCAAAAATCCTCCACGCAGCCTCAGAGGGTGAAATATATCTACAGTCATAGTACATCTTGATTTCATCTATAATCTTTCAAGTAGATTCTTCCACCCCATTGTTGTAGAATTCAGCTGTGACCCTATCATTACCCTTGTTGACGTACATGAATAAGTACTTTATTGATCTAGATTGGTTGCACCACTCCACATTAATATGAGCCTTGTACTTCATAAGCAAATGTCTATTGTGTGGAACAACATATCTACTATCAAGGTCAATCCCATTCTTCCGTATTGTACGACCATTATCTCGACGCTGATAGATTGGATATCCATCGAAATCCACTGTGGAGTTTTCAACCAATTTTTTGGGGAAGAATTTAGAGCACTTACCATTTACCATGCAAGGTGAATTCTTCCTCGCTGCACCACATGGACCGTGAATCATAAATTCATCTATAGCTTTATAATACTCAGGGTCGCACAATTGACTTGGAATCTCAATAGATATGATCACGTCAATATCTTTAGGATTAGGGTAAGAGTTACTCTTGCTCAAGAATATCAAAATGTGAGCATGTGGCAATCCCTTTTTTTGAAATTCAATGGTGTAAATTACTTCAAATACAAACATTGTGAAATTAAACCAAAAGAATTGTAAATTATTTAAAAGATATGTAACAATCAAAAATATTTATAAAATCACATAAATTAATTGCATCTACCACTCCAAAAATGTTCTCTTTCTGAATCTCTTTTATGAGTGCATTTAATTTCATTTTAAACACACGACATATTATATCTGGCCTATCTTCAGCTTTGAGTTTCCTTGGTTGTAAAAATCTTTCAATCTCAGGCCACTTAGGATTACATGTGAATGTAATAAATAGACTTGGATACCCAATCCATCTACAAATAGCCATTGCATCTTGGTAATTTTGCACCATATATCTTGCACCTCCGGTAAAACTCGATGGCAAAATGATGCGCTTTCCTTGGGCAGTAGGATCTACTTCACCACGTGTTAACGCATCTGTCAAACATTTGTATGATTCACAGCGAAGTGACTTTTGATGAGTCCTAATATAAACCAAGCGTCCCAATTCTATCATGGTATAAGCATCAACCAAATATTGTTGAAACAACCTTCTAGCATAAAGCAATGTTGACATTTCATTGAACCTACCTTGCAAACGGAATGAAAAATACTCTCTTGGACTAAGTTTACTCCTAGCATTTGAACTCCGACCTTCGACATTAGTAAACTGTATATCGTCTCTGTATCCGTCTTCACCATAAGGAAAGAGCAGTGGGTACTGCAGTGGGAGATATGCTGGATTTAATTCAGTTATTCTTTGAAAATGACCAGCTTTAGACTCCACCAATATATCTCTTTCTCCCATGTTTGGATCTAAATCACCAACAATCAATGCCGCCACCTCTCCAACCTGTGGCAAGTTATATGTCCTTGCATCTTTGTTCCGCTTACTGATGAGTTTGATTTTAATATCAGCTCTATGATTACTTTCCATCCCTGTTTTCGCCATCCTAAAACTCTTGACCAAAACATTATTTTCATCTAGTGCATATTTAATGTCTTGAACAATTTCACGATGCATTGTAGTGGTTGACTCATCTTCCCTGTTTGAAATAGACAAACCCATACAATTTTATAATCTATTTTATATTAAAAATGATGCTCATTTATTTAAATTAAAAAAACGTACAGAACTTACCCAAGTGCACTTAGACGATTGTTGATCTCATTTTGAGTATCATAAATATACAATTGAGCAAACTTTGGTCTTTCGCCAGATTGTGGTAGCAAACTACCCATTAAGTGAAAATTTTGACCATGTAACCTAAAAGTTGGTGGTGCACTACCATTGTTGATCGTTCTGTCAATTTTTCCACCCATGGAAGTAAAGCAAAACATATTGTTAAAGGACCGAATGTTCTTCAAGAAATGGGTACTCTTTTGATCTTGGTTAAAGAACAACTACCTGATTGCCATAGGTGGAATATTAGGATGCGACAACTTTATCTTTCCATGACTGCAACATAGTGAAATTTTCGGATTTCGAACACCGCTAGATTTATTAACTCGCTCCTCTAACCAAAACATAGCTCCACAGTGATGACATGAGTATGTTTGATCACCAATATCACTGTAATAATCTACCAAAAAACAAATGTTATTACTAAACTCAAATAATAAAGGTTATTAATCGTACCTATACTCACCATTAACATTTGTAGAGTTTGATGGAGTATCATGGGCCACACTATCAAAAGCTGCCATCAAACCACGTTGCATTGACGCCTTTGGTGATGAGCTATTGTAATCCACAACGCATGATCTTGTTGTTTGAACTATAAGATGAAAACAAACATTATTATTCATTTAAAGCAATTTATATAAATTCATATTTTAAAAAATAATTAACTTCTTTGCGAAACTTTACCATTTGTTAAATTGGTCAAAGGCCCTCAACTTTCATTGGACACCATAGGGGTACTTTCCAAAACATTAGATCGCGATGTCATTGATTGAGTAATATTTTGTAAAACTATTAGAAAAAAAAAAACAAATTTGTTTTAATACACAAACTAAAATTCCAAATATAGTATAGTAAATATATATAGATATATAATTTATCATAGAAAATTGTTTTGAAAGACCTCCACTTTGTCCACCAAAAAAACGCCTCTTATTTTGAAATGTTGAATTAACACATGTAAGCTGAGATCTATCACTTGCCGATTGTAGTGCAATTGAACACTCTAAACCAAAAAATTGCAAAAAGCTCACATTAATATATATAATATAAATACTTTAAATAAAATGTACTATACCATAGTACCGACATTAGATTTAAAATGAAAGGACTAACCATCCATCGCAGTTACTTTTGGTGTGTTGAATGTTCCATTTTCCGTACAATCATTTTCTGTCATCAAAGCAATAAAGAAATTAAAACCAATAAAATAAAGAATTACTAATATAATTATTTATGTAAATAATATTAATTCAATTATTACATTAAATAACTAATTTACCCAAAAATAAAAAGGCTATATATGTAACACCCCTAATTTAAATACAATAAATACCATACGTAAGATTTTCATGACAAAGCTAAATATCGTCCTATATAAATAAGCATATGTATAATATACGCATATAAACCATATTTAACAATAAAAAATATTAAGAAAATTAAAAAAAAAAAAACAAATTTGTTTTAATACACAAACTAAAATTCCAAATATAGTGAATATATATAGATATATAACATCTAATACCATTGTTAACGTTGAAAGATTGTTTAGAAAGACCTCCACATTGTGCCCCAATAAAACGCCTCTTATTTTGAGATGTTGCATTAACACATGTAAGCTGAGATCTATCACTTGCCAATTCTACTGCAATTAAACACTCTAAACAAAAAAATTACAAAAAGCTAACATGAATATATATAATATAAATACTTTAAATTAAATGTATTATACCATAGTACCGACATTGCAAGCTAACAGCAATCGCACATACTTTCGGTGTGTTGAAGGTTCCATTTTTCGTACAATAATTTTCTGTCATAAAAACAATAAAGATATTATAACCAATAAAATAAATAAGTACTAATATAATTATTGATGTAGATATTATTAATTCAATGATTACATTAAATAAACTAATTTACCCAACAAAAAAAAAAGAATATATATGTAACACCATAATTTAAATACAATAATTTAAATACAATAAACACCATACATAAGATTGATTTAACAAAGATGAATCTCGTACTATATAAATAAGCATATGTATAAAATAAGCATATTAACCAAATTTATTCCACTTTCTATATATAATTTAAGCATAAATAAGCATACTATATACATATATATATATATATATATATATATATATATATATATATATATATTGACCAAATAAAATAATAATAATAATAAAGGATCGAAGTGTCCAGAAGTGAGACTTCTGGACACAATCCGATCATCACTCCCACTGTCTACGCTTGATAAGTGCATAATTGTTCATATTTATACCACATGTCTACCCCATATTTAGCATTGTTTTGTTTATGAAGTGTCACAATGTTGTTCAAAATGATCTTTATTTTGCTCATTTGATCCATTATGCACAATTCATTATCTTTGAGTAGAAATGAAGGATTTTAGATCATGTTGGATGCATTTGGAGTCAAGGGGAGCCAAGGTGAAGCTAAGGAGATGGATTCAACACTTCCAAATGAGCCAAAGAGTGATGTTTTCAATGGTGTTGATCATATGGACGAATTAAACCAAGGCAAAAGTGGAACAAGTGTCAACAAGCTGAAATTCTCGCATGGATTGTCCACTGTTCTGTTTTTGGGCCATATATCGGTCTAGAAGTATCCAAATTATGTGATTCTTATTCCATTGGAAAGAAGACTCAAAGAGCTATAACTTATATTCAGACATCAAAACCTAAAAAGGAAGCAACAAGGTTCAAAATTGTCCTTGAAGTTGAAGTTCCAAACTTACAATCTAAAACTTACCTATGTTGGTGAATGTTTTACCTATGTTGCCCATCATCTCTAACCCAAAACACCAAATTCTCTTCCAAAAGGAATATTCACGGCATATTGTTACACCAAAATTGTTCATCTCCAACCCGATTAATTTTACATCATAAGTATATAGGTAGTGTATATGAACCAAGGAGATTGAGTAGAACCACAATGAATATTTGTTTAATATACCAAAGGAATATGAATTTGTGTTTTACAAAACTGGAAAAAAAATTAAATTAAATTGTGATTGATGTAAATGTATACAAATACAAATTCTCTTCCGCAAATTACACAACTTGGATATACATCATATATTCATATACTGAAATCGTGATAATGATATAAATGTATACAAATACAAATTCTCTTCCGCAAATTATACAACTTGGATATACATCATATATTCATATACTGAAAAGTACATGAATTACAAAAGAAATTGCATTGAATTTAATTTCCAGGGACTGCATTGAATTTCCATTTCTTGGACCTCGTTAACATAGTTATGGAACGTAGCTTCCATATAGGTCTGCATTTCTTTGTTTAGGGACTCGGGTGTACTTCTTAGCGTAGACTTGTTTGACGCCACGGCTATTTGGCACGTCATATCGTTGATGCCTTGTACTAGCAAACAAAATACAAAGTCTGTAGAATCAGACATTCAACTTCCTTTGGCCGTACCCTCAAAGGAGGCATACATGAACGAACCCTCAAATTGAAATGCAAATTCGCGAAATTTAGTTGAAATTCATTGAATTTTGGATTCACACCCAAAATATGGTGACATGAAATACTGCGCATGAGAAAGTTGAAAAAAAAAAACAAAAAACAAACTTCCCATACAGAATAAAGAAAGAAGCAATGCGGTCAAGTAAAAAATGTAATGTTTGAACGTAAATCCGCAAACGCAATGAGATATTTATAGCCAATGATGTAATGTTTGATATGTATATAATTTTCTTATTATAACAAATAATCACATGAGCTGTCAGCACCAAATCCATTTGAATGCTGACATCCCACCGTCAAAATGCAAGTGGGACGTGCGTTCTTCTGTAGAACACAAGTCCCACATGCGTTCTTAGTTTTTGTTAAAGTGTCAGCACAGATGTGATGGCTTGGCTGCTGACCCCCACCCCACCGTCAAAACGCAAGTGGGACTTGCGCTCTTCTGCTCTGTAGAACGCAAGTCCCTCTTGCGTTCTTTCTTTTTGTTACCGAGATGTGATGTTTCGGCTGACCTGACCAACAGCCTCACGGTTCAACTTAATATCGAGACATATTTTAATTTTAAATTCAAAATATGTTGCGATAAATTAAAAAAAATATATTATTATGTAAAAGATAATGGCGATTTTGTATGGTCTTCTTTTGCACCAATTAGTCTAGCCATTATCCATATTCACTAAAATTTGAAAATGTGTGTCTTGTAGTCACAATTAAACCCATTCAATTTATTATTATTATTATTATTATTATTATTATTATTATTATTATTATTTTTTTTTTATCATAATCGGACGTTGTGATCCACTGGTAGCAAGTTGCTTTCCGTATGCAGGAGCTAGTGGGTTTAAGCTTGGGTGGACGTGATGACATGTTTATTTTTTAGTTTTAAACTTCTTGATAGTCACAACTGAACTCGAAAAGAAACTATGTTGTAAATTGTCGCTTGTAATGTTAATAAGTTTGTGAATAAAATTACAAAGTGTCATTTCACTCAGTTATTTGTAATAATTATAATGTATATATAACTTCACATATCGAAACTGCTGGAAAATAAGAATATAATATTGCTGTGACTTGTGAAACAGATTAATAAACCAAACATATATTGATGCCATCATACTGATTCTTACAGGCCCTCTAGTTTATATTATTAAACAAGGCGTATATTTATAGACTGCGGGGTCATTAATTTTAAGACATCCAATATATTGATGCCATCATATTGATGTCCACAAAATGTGACCCACAGGTACTCTAAGATGGCAGGCGCTCCAAAGCATATCGAAGTCTGATCCTGAACTGTGTATGGATGAGAAGGCAATCATCGAATCTGACTCTTCAACTACGCCGCCATGTAGGTTCACGAGAATTAATTGGAGATCATACGTCTAGTTCAAGGGAGAAAATTTTCCCCATAGAACTTCAACGTAAAAATTTTCTCCATAGAACTTCAACGTAAGAATTGTGTTCATATGATAGTAGATATAACAAAGTATGTAATTTTCAAAGAAAGTGGATGTGACAACCCAAACTTTAATTTTAAAAATTCGGTTTAAGAAATTTTAAAATAGCCATTTTTCACTCTATAAATTTTTTTGCGATAGAATCGGTGTTTGAATAAATTATTTTGAGCCACTTTTAAGTAAATTCAACACCGGGATTTATTTTAAATCTAAAATCCTAAATTCTCAGGTACATTACGTACCAAGTTTTGATCCGAAAGTCAATCTGAGTGAAACCGAGAGAAATCTGAGAAACCTAAGCTAAGTGGTTGTCTAAAAAGTATTTTTGGAAAAATGTATTTTTGACCCCAAACTATTTAAAACCTCATTCCTAGACTATGGTCCATGTTGTAAGATAGACCATAAGCTTGTCTGGTATTTTTAGAACACCAACCAAACTACTACCTTGCCCTCCACCAATCATTGGTGAGCCTTCTAGGGTTTTGAACCCATATAAAAAGAACAACAAGCTCATTTTCATTCCCTGGTCTCATTTCTTGGCCTCCCACTGAGTTCTCTGCAAATCAAAGAAACACAGTAAGCATTTTCTATCCATTCCTTCATCTTCCTTTAAGGTTTTCATCTTCATTTGTTTCAATCTCTGAGGTTTCTATCCTTAGGCTTGGCTTGTATGGTTTGTTTGGGAAGTTTAGGAAGTGAAGGTGGTGCTAGCTAAGTATAGAGGGAGAAGAGGTCCACACAAGAAGAAGAGGCAACAAGAGGTATAACCCCATGGACTCCCAAAGCTATTTTAGACTATGTGAAGTCATTGTTTTGTGCTTGGAAATGAGTAGAAATGCTAGAATAATGTGTGTTTGAGCTAGTAGATGATCTAATGTTGATCTATGATGTGTTGTTGAAGATTTGGGAGTGTTTGAATGCTTGAAATTGCATTTACAGGTGAAGAAAGCTCATCTGGTGCATAGCCAGTGTGCACCAGACAGGTTCACGGGCCTAGCCAACGGCCCTAGGCAGAGGCCGTTGGCCAGAACCGTGAAGAGGCGGCCTCAGGGCATGGCCTATGGCAAGGGACGTGACCCTGAGCCGTAGCTTGGCGGAGCCAAGAGGCGGGCTTCCTCGAGCCCCGCCG